ACTGCATTACAGTCCCGTAGGTGGTCAGTTTACTGTATTAGTTTCATCCCAGACATGCCTCTGAGCCATGTAGTAATTCACTGCCTAGCTAACAATGTAGAGTTGGACATGTCCCTTGATGTCTCAAACATCAGCTATCCATAGTTGAACTTCATTTCCCCCAGCCCTGACTCAACTCTTTATCTCACTGTTGTATATACCCATTTGTTCAGAATGTTTGGAAAACATTTTTTTTTCTTCCTGTTCCCTACCCCTGCCATCATGTCAATTAGCAGTGTGGCCCAAACTAGCTATGATTTTTTTGCCATATCCATACCACCTCATCTATTTATTTACTTAATTATTTTAGTTTAGTCAACTCTTCTCATCCTAAGAAATAGTATTCAGGAAATCATTGATTTGATGTCCTGATTATATTTCTAATAAAATATTTATATACTCCGAGTAATACATACCATCATGTATGACTTGCTTTCAGAAACACTGTGGTAAGCTCCAAAGTATACTATAAAATCTGTCCATATTTTCCATCTCTACCATAATCACTCACCCTAGGCTCACTAACCAGGCTCTTTGCTTGCCTTCTTACTCCCTTCCAACCCATTTTACATACACTAAGAAGAATGGTCCTAAAATATAATTAAGTTACATCACTCTACCGCTTAAAACCCTTCTAGAACTTATTACATCAACCTAAAATCCGATTTCCTGATCACGTCCCCTAAAGATCTTACCCCTCTCTCGTTTCTTGACACTTCACCCCTGTTCACATTGCTTAAGCCTCAATGATCATCTCTCAGATCAAAGAATAAGACTCTTCCCATCCATCCAAGGGTTTTTATCTACTATTCCCTAATCTTATTCCCCATTACATGAATTTCTTTCTATTTTAGGTCTTGATTAAATGTTAACCTCCTGAGAAATTACTCTGATTACTAGGGTCATTCTAGTTACTTTGGTCAGAAATGTCCTTTCTTGGAAAGTAACATTTCATCAAGACTAAAATAGGCAAGGAAAAGAGGCTGAGGGAACAGCATATTAAGAGCTCAGAATTGAGGGAGGGCACCACTGCAAGTAGTGAAGCCAAAATGGCTAAAAGTGAGCCCAAAGTGGTAAATAGAGCCAGGTCAAATATAAGTGGTTTTGTATATCTTGCAAGATTGAGCTACATTCTAAGAGCAATAGAATGCCACTGAAAAATGTAGGTGAGATTGGATTTGCATTCTAGAAGAATCACTCTCAGAATTACAGAGAATAGAGTAAAATAGGAAGGCTTGTCAGTAACTCAGATGAATGAAGATG